TTTGGATCTTTGAATACCGTATTTTTATTCATAGAAACTATATGCTATTTATTGCTTGTAGCTCATGAGAAGTTTTTTAAATGGCTTGCCCTCCCAAAAATCTAAAAATGACAAAGATCTCTGAAAGTGGATAAACATGCAATTGCAGAGTATTCCAGATTATATTTAGAAAATTGCTGAAATGCACAAGAATTGTAAACAGAGTGCTGCAAGATATAAAAGGCTTTGTTTCACAGAATTTTACAAGAAGCTGCTAGCTATTCTGTAACTGTAAGAATTTTTCAGTATATTCAATCTTATGTATTCCCATATCTTTCTCTATCAAAAATGTTAAAACAAAACTTTGGGAAGCAGACACCACTGAGTTCCAACAAATCTGCAAGGAAGAGACATTTTTATGCAAAAGCCTAATTTGTTATTTTTGTTTTTGTCAAGGTCTTTGTTATTTTTGTTAACAAAGACCTTGATTCAAGAAAAGAACTAAAGAATATCCTTAACTTTAAGCATGTGTTGAATTCACATTAAAATCAACTGCATTCTTTAGTGTATGGCACAGTCAGGACCAAACTATATGAATATATTGTCTTCACATATGTAAACATAGTTCTTTGCAGGAAAAGGTCCAGCGTATGTAACAAAATACAATAAAATGTGCTTTAAATTTTATGACTATTATATTAAATACTTCTGAATTTGAATCCCTTTGGATCACCTGTGACTATCAGTTTAAGTCACGGGCTCATGTAAAGAGAGGAACTGTGCACTTGTATTACAAATATTTACAGTTTTCATTATAAACATTTTTTTTAATTGGGAGGGGAAAATCAGGTCTGCGTGTTGAGTGAAAAAGGGTTGTTGGTTGTTTGTGTTGCTCTAAGGACATAGGCAGACAAGGTTCTTTGGGTAAATGTGACATTTTTTATTAGACCAACTACATAGTTGGAAAAATTGTTCTTTGCAAACTTTTGGGCACAAACACCCTTCTTCAGGCATAGGGAAAGTCTGCTGGTGTTACGTGTTCTCCATGGTAGAATAGAAGTCAATATGCAAATGCAGGTCTATGAAAGTGCAAATGCATGGCAGCAAGGATCAGAAGGAATGGTAAAATACAAACCACCATATACAAGAAACCCATGGACCAACAACATACATATCTACACCGAACCAGCAAGCACCCTAAACACACCAGAAAAGCTCAAATATACAGGCAAGCCCTCCAATACTACCGAACTTGCACTGTGGAGAACACCCATGATTGTCACCTTGCAAATCTCAAAGGGGCTTTCACCCAACAAGAACATTCCTCTAGAGAGAGAGATCATACTTTTGAAAGAGCCACTCGGATACCACGTGAAGAATAGCTGCAGTACAAAAAGAAAGTCCTCACGAATCGCACACCATTAGTTATGACATACCATCCCTCCCTGGAACCTATACAGAACATCCTCAAACAATTGCAACCCATACTAGAAAAAGACCCAATTCTTAAAGAGACCTTTCCAGAACTACCCATCCTAGCCTTTAAACAAGCACCGAACCTCGCCACCCTCATCACCAGAAGCAAACATCCTATGGCCTAAAGCACAGTAGATGCCAACACAACTCCACCACCACTCCCACAATAACTACACCCCACAATGGAACCATCACAATTCCTGGTTCTTACACCTGCACCTCCAGAAATGTAATATATCTCATCCAGTTCACTAAATGCCCTGATCAAATATATGTGAGAGAAACCAAACCCCACTGTGTACCAGAATGAACGTGCACCGAAAACCCACAAAGACAAAAATATCCAATTACCTATGGGTGCATACTTCTCGCAAGACAAGCACTGCCTCTCCAACCTCTTCGTTCTTATCTTCAAAGAGGATTTACAAAACCCCTTTCATAGATGAGCCTGTGAACTTCGTTTCAAACATCTATTGGATCCAAAAAATCATGGACTAAATATAGACATTGGACTTATGGCCTGCCATCTGATAACGCCAGGTAACCTGTCTGCGTTTTACCAGCTACATTCTGTCACCATTTCAACATTCCCCCTCTTCCCCAACACATACCTGTCTTGCCCTTATTGTCTCCCGTTCCTCTGATCCGCACTACCATGCATTTGCATTTTCACAGACCTACATTTTGCATATTAACTTCTGTTCTACCCTGGAGAATGCATGATACCAGCAGACTTTCCCTATGCCTAAAGAAGGGTGTTTGTGCCCAAAAGGTTGCAAAGAACAATTTTTCAACTATTTAGTTGGTTTAATAAAAGATACTGCATTTACGCAAAGAACCTTGTCCCCCTTGAGTGAAAAAGTACATTTTGTTGTTTTCTTGTAGCTAGAAGATGCTCAGAGTAAGAGACAGGAGAAACTCATAGAAAAACACAAGGAGATACGCCAACAAATACTGGATGAAAAGCCTAAGGTAAAGAGTTTTGAACTGTCATATAGTGCTTTGGAAACGTTTTAATTTGGCAGCTGAACCTTTGTTATGCACTAGTTATGTTGGTACTTAGTTGTGATAAAGTCCACGCACAGTGAGGAAATATTTTTAGACCCCTTCTCCAATATTCAAGATTCTGAGAAAAGGTCATGTAGCCTGCAAGTCCTTATTCTACATAATTAAGTGGAACTTTAGTCTTATAAAATATCATTAAATGGCATTCAGTGTAAAGGGTGCTTCTCACCACCAGAGTGTGCCCTTCACTGTAATGTGCTTTAGCAGTAAAAAACCAAAACACAGATTTTCTTTGGGTTTTTTTTGTTTGTTTTTAAAAAAAGGAGATATCTTTTTAGCATGCGTAGCTTAAACTATCAAGATGCTAATAACAGTCTGTAGTACCAAATGAGAATTTAATTTTGTGGAAAACAATGATACTGTCATAATACTGTGATTCAACCTGATATACTATCTGCTGACTTTTCTACTTTGGTTTTTGTGCACTGACTCTTACTCTCTTTTGTGTCAGTTGAGAACATGTGGTATTCTGAAATCACACATGCAATATATTTTTTTAATTACAAAGATTGTGGGCCTGATCCTGTTTCTGCCAAAGCCATTGGGAGTCCTCCCTTTGATTTTGGAGAAGTAAGTTCAAGCTTCCTACAAGTTATAAGATGTGTTCTGGGAAGTCATAATTAATTATATCATCGGGCTATTATGCATGAACACAGTATCACCAGAGTTCTGGTTGTGATCTAATTCTTTGTGAGCCCTTGTTGTCCTTTGTGCTTTTATATTTCTATATTAGTTCAAATATATTGGATGCTTCACCTTTAATTTCTTGAAGATACTAATGATCTCCACTGTAGTGTGCATTCTCTTGAAACCCCAA